CATCAACGGGACCTGAAGAAGAAAGCTTCACTGTGGACACACACAATGTCTTACAAGCCCTAGTCTTCACAAAACTAAGCCTATTTAGAGTAAAATCTTGCGAGCCCTTTCTTTTTACTATTATTTTAGTCACTCTTGGACATTATCAAACAAATATTCATAAATAGTTTCAGACACCTTATAAAGGCTTTGGGACTGCTTCTCTCAATGCAGGAAGCTAAGCTCTGGGCATCAGATGCTTTGAATTGTTTGTGGTTCTGGAACTGGAAGGGCCAAGTCAGCCAGCCCAGATAGTCCTTCCTAGAAATAAGAAAACACTAACATGCTGTCTGGATGATGGCCCAGCCAACTCCAGCAGGGTAGGACACAGGCAGAACAAAGACCCACCCAAGATCTTTTTCCAGATTTCCCCTACTGTCTTACACAGGGTTTTATTGCACATACACCAGGTTGCTGGAATACAGACTTAATGACACTATCAGCTCTCTCCTTGCCTAGGCAGAACTCTTACGACTAACTTGAATAATCAATCTGCAGCATTCATTTTGGAAGCCCTGCAAGATATGTATGGTGAGAGGAAAGAAGCTAACAAGACGTCCAAAGCACAGTGGTTTATATCTTACGCCTGCTACTACTGTAACCAGTCACCTGAATAAACTCAGGTCAGAGGAATAGTTAGCATCAGGCTGAGCCGATGCCCTTTTCACCCTTAAAAGGAGCTTCTCAAATGCTCAGAAACTAGATTGGCCAGTTTCTGCACATACTTTATAGATTAGCAATGCAAAAAAACCCCCATTGGGTTTGAGAATTAATCCAGATTACTAAAACAAGGAAGAATATTATATAAGCATGGTATGTGAAGCAGAATCAATCAAAATGCGTTACAGCAACATCAGTACCTGCAATGCCCAGTGAGACGTTTTTCTACATGTGCGTTCTGCTTTAGTTTTCTTAACTGAGTTACTGACAGCTCTAATCAGATCCTGGAAAATCTGCTAGGCTTTATTATTAAAGCCTACTGAAGGGTTCCATGAGGATCTTCAGCAGGGAGGGATGCTCTACTGTTCTGCCTCCGTACCCAGTTTCTCCTTTTTTGACCACCTTTGAGCTGAAACAGCTTTCTCTACAGAGACTGAAACGGCAGGTAAATGAGCATCACTGACCTATATAGGAGAGGCTAATAAAATGCAAAGAAACAATCTTCGATTCTATGTGGGATGCAGATGAAAATGGAGAACACTAAACTGAAATGGAATTTCTTTTTTCAAATCCTCCGCTCCCAGATGAATTCTTAACCGTTTCTCAACCCAAAGGTCCTCCCACTCCAGCACTGTTCCAGCACTGCAGATGGAAAAGCGTTTGGAAAAACTCCAAAACCCATACCAGTTGCTTCAATTAAAAAAGAAAATACGACCACAAAAATCCTTCCTCTTTGTTGAGTTGAAAGCACAGGGTTAAAGCAGCCCAGGTAAGTATTCAAATGCTGAAAGATCTCACTTTAGGAAATAATTTACACAATCTGTTTACCAAGAAGCACAAAGCTATGCTAGGCTTGCCAGAGCACTGAAAGTGTAAACTGAAATCCTTTAACACAGACCACGTCTAACAAATGGGCTAATGGTTCCGCTCAGCAGAATTTTTGTTATTGACCACTCTGAGACTGCAGTATTTTAGCACAAGATAGGCCCAAGCCAAAAGAGAAAAACTTCTCTACAAATACGTCTGATTTTGGCTTTTGTAATGCCATGTGTCACAAAGTTGTTTACAATTTTCCAAAGTATCAAAGTACACTCAACTGAAGATCATAATACGAATTAGAGCAAGGCTAAAAATAGTTACTGTACTGAGACTACTCGCTGCCTTCAAGAGAACTGAACTCTCCTACCTTTTCTATCAAGCTCATCTTGTATCTTTGCTTCCTAGGTTAACCACAGCTCCACGGACAGATTTCTTGCTACATTTCAGAAACTGGTTAAGTCTTCATCTAATTAGATGAATTATGCTATACAATAACATCTGCCTTTCTACCGAGTAACCCTCTGCTGATATGGAAAAGCTGCATTTGTCTTCAGCCGTTAAATCCAATTGTGAATTCCATTAGCAACCTGCTGTAACTCCAAACTTTCTGATCCAGTATTTTAAAACAGAAGCACATCATTTCATAGTACTTGAGATGGCCCTCATTCCCATTTTGAGGATCCATGGCACAGTGCAGTTCAGGAACCAAATCAATCATGACAACATATCACACAATCCCCACAAAGAACTACAATAAACTTGTTGCTGGATATAAATTTCCTATTTATAAGCACTGTGAACCAGCTCACAGCCTGCTGCAAGATAAAATCATTCACTAATTTTAAGAACATGTTGGAAAAGTAAAAATTTGACTTTATTAGCTCAATACATGCCAAACAAGTCCATTAAAGGTCTCATGACAGTTAACAACATCCCTCAAAACCATTTGTATTAAGCTGTATCATTGGCAGTAGATTAAGACCTACTCTAGTATTACTTCAAATTAACATCAGTAAAGCAACTTGTCCCATTTGCCTTCCCCAGACACGAAGCACAGCATTCCATTTGGCTGCAATACCCCTACTTCTCCAACATTTAATACTTCTAGCTCCTTTGTCAAGACTTAACTAGCCTCAGGCTAACCTCAAGAGGCTTAGCCTCTAGCTCCTCACCTGCCCATTTAAAACCAGAAAACCAAGATAAGTGTCTAGACAGGGGAATCAGGCAGCATTTTCATTAGTAAAAAGGAGAAATACTAAAAATACATAGAAGAGTATTTCACGAAGTGTGGTTTAGTTTTGTAGGCAAATCTACTAACTTTTTCTACAAAGAATCAACAAATGTGGATTAGGTGGTCTACTTCACACACAACAGATTTTTCCAAAACTGCACAAACTAGTAGACTAAAGGGGAAAGGGTAAGTAGCAGGTAGTCCATTTTCATAGTGGAGGAAGCTACCATAAATTACTGTAATACCTGTTATGTTCAACATTGATAAAGTTCTTTAAGTCAGCAAGGCAACAATGCCAAGATTATAAAGTTATTCAAGAAGTCAAAAGCAAGTCTGATTACAAATACCAGAAGTGTCTTACAATACTGAAATTTCATCTACTGTTCCACTGCCCCTTTGTTATCCGTGCATGCACTGCACTAAGCAGAGGGGAAAACCCTGAATAAGGACATGCAAAGATACACCAACCCAGTTACCACTGCTGATGAAAGATACCGAATTCATTCTCATTACTACACTGAGAACAAGGCAGTGCTCAAAAGATGTTAGAACAGAGCCAATCTTAGAAAGGAACAGGAAGAAATAGAAAATGTTCTGCTGTTGTTACGAGCCATGCTATGTCTACTACATGATTAGTAAGAGTGGCAACAAGCAGCCCATCTGAAAAAGGCTATTTGTGAACCAGAAACCACGATAAAGGGCAATAAGGATGAAAAAGATCTGAAATAGCTTGGATTCCAAAGTAGTACAAACAAAAAAGCATGGCTGGGAGCACAGTACTCAAGGCAAGTTATGAGTTAATGCCATACCCAAAGCTAAAAGCCAGCTTAAATTTTACAGCAGACCAGATAATATCTCAAGATTATGAACTTGTTAGAACTGGACAGAGAAAGTCAGGCTTACTATACTTGAGAGATTGACATTGATACTAGGTTTGAGATACACACAGATTACCAGTGTCCACATTGCTCTTCTCCCATTACCATTTATTAAGTGCAAGTGGTTAGTAATCCTTTCATCATGTCTAATCTTCATTGCTGCAAGCAGGGTTGCTCTTGTGTGCTACAAACAACTTCAGAGTTGCACAACACATACACAGAAGGGGAAATTTTCACTTAGCTCTTCAAGTACTTTACGCCTTTGAATATTTTAAAAGGCATCTTGAAGGGTACCAGTGTTTCTTTAATATAAAACCATTCAATTGCTGCACACAAAGCTGCTCAAAATACCTCTCTAGGCATAATGTATTGCACTAATCTTTAACTAGCTGTACCCAAATTAGACCAATAAGAGTTCATTAAAAACTAGCCAAACCAGAACAACCGTACTCTAAGGAAAATTAAAAATCAAGTACACAAGGTCAGTGTAAACATGTTCTTTAATATCACTGAAGATAAATTCAGAAATCCAAGTCTTAGATGGGTTTCAAATAAATAATCATTATGAGTAAGTGTTTACATATAAAGGGCGCTCTCAAAGCAGCAGTGCACAGTTTATAATTCCTCCCTGCTAACACACCCCCAACACGAGAATGTACAGTAGGTAGTGCACACTGGAAAAAACAATCACAACATACGGCACACCTGCCATCTGCGATGAAACCACTGAATATGACGTTGAAAAGAGGGGAGACACAAATGAAGGCATGCACTGCCCTTTAAAGCACCACTATTTTCCCACAGTCTTTTCACCAGCATTACACAAAGAAGAAACCTGGGAATACAAGTCATCTTTCTGCTTCTAAAATTCACTCTCAACTCAAAGATGAACACAGCAGTGCTCTGATATAGAAAATGTATTCCTCAAACTGACATTGCAGCATAAAATATTGTCCCCATCCCAACTCGTTTCTACTCTAATTTTTAAATTCCTTTCGAGTAACTGCAGAGGTAATCCAGAAAGCTTAGACAGGTAAGAGTTGTTGTTTCTTGTAGATCCTGGCCCCAGTGTACTGAAAAGAACCAAGACATGACAGGTCTCAAGAAGGTGTATGGTTACGCAGCAAAGTGTCTGGTGTCCTACATCACTCAAATAAAACCTTCCAAAAGTAAAAATTCCTCCTCAAAGTGAAGATTTGCCTTTCTTAAATGACTCCAATTATTATGCTGTAAAAATATGCCCGATGTGACGTTCCTCACATCAAAACAAGAAGATTTAACAATCCAGAAAGACCAACAAGAAAAAAGATCAAATATAAATATGCCACAAATACGCTTGCAAAAGAGTTCCTGTAAATTGTTTTGTTATTTAAGTTACTGTTTCACCAAAATATTTTCTCTGCAGATATGGGTAGGGCAGTCTTCTGCTCTTTGTACTTCAGTTCAACATGCAATTGATCTGTGATAAGCACTGCAATACTCAGCATAGAAGCACATAACCTACTAGCATAAACTCCTCAACACAGTTAACCTGCTTCATTACTCAATTTTTCTTCTCCATTTCTAGTATACCTGAAAAAAAGTTCTGCCCCTCTCAGCTACAAGTCAATAAAAAAACTTACTATGTAATACTGCTGTGTACCTACTGAATAAATATTACAGGAGTCAAAGGATTGTTTCAATTGCTAGGTTGGCTTTGGCAAAACACGAATTGGAATAACATACACTTCACACATTTGAGTAGGGGACGCTGCAACATTTAACAGATACGAAATAAAATAAATCTTAGATTTCTAGAACTGTCAGTACACAGGATTCCCAAGTTGTTTTGAATACAGGAGCAGAGTAATCAATTTTCAAGGAAAGCCACATAGTCAGTCAATCTGGCCAACTGCTGTTCATTTGGAATTGGTGGAAGCGGAGCAGGTTCTACAAAGATAAAACAAATGCATCATTAATGAAAGTTAAGAAAGCAAATCCATCCACAATACCATCCATCACAACAGTAAGGAAAAAATTAAATGCATCAGACTGTTAAACAGTCTTATGGGACATATCTTAACTGTATCTCCTACCTATGCAGCTTTAGCTGACATTATTTTTCTGCTATCTGCAACGTTAAGGAGTCCAAGAGTTACTAACAGCAAAGATAGCTGTAACAAGTTCCAGTCTCCAAAATTTTTTTTGCATATGCTGGAGTCTGAATAATGAAGACTGACACTACTTCCACTTGACAAAAAAGCTCCTGGAGCTCTTCGATTGCTACCTTCCTTACAAGTTGCCATGCTGAAGATACCGAATAAGTCTACTGGGTTATCTGACTAACAAAACACAGCAAAGTACTGCATGGGTTGCGGGAGAATGCAGGGCACATGCAGATCCTTATTAAATGCCAGCTAACCTGAGAATACAGTTTAAAAATAGGTTGAAGACAAGTGACTAAAGCCAGGGAGATACTAGGAATTCAAAATCAAAAATATAAAATAGCAGGAACATTTGCATTTACTCTTCCTGAAGAGTTAACAGACTAGCATACAGGATACAGTTAAAGTAGACATACTGCTGAGGGCTCCAAGTACATGACAGAGGAGGCCAACAATCGAAAGAATGCTTTCACAAAACATGACCCCAGCTCTTGAAATTGTCTTGGAATTAAACCTGTAAATTTAAGACACTTGTGGCAACTGTGTTAGACACAGCAAGCCACCAATTCAGAGCTGCTGTCACTATCTTGCGAACAACAGACAACAGTGTTTTGAGAATCAGCATGACACAACATATTACACCTCAATCTATAGTTGAGCTCTGAGGAAAACCAGAAGATTGCTTTCTTCTACAGGGAAGACTTCAGAAGTCCCACAATCACACAAAAGCAACAAAACCTGCTCAGAGTTGCTTTGTGAAGAAACTGCCTGTAAGTCACAAGTTTTCACCAAAATCCTTTGTTTTACAGGGGCTGTCTACCCCTTCTTTGGAATCTGCTCCCTACTTCAGCTATGGAAGTCGGAATCTCGGGCACTCCTTAAAATGCAAGGGAAAACAGAGGGAGAAATATGTTTACATAGCACCGGATAGGGGTGGGCTTTTTTGAGGCGAGGAATGACAACATTCACTTCTCTAGGACCCAATTCCCATTTTGCAGTGCTGGTGAAATTGTTTTGATATTAATCACACAAGTTTAGATATATGCAAGTAGAGTATATATAAACAGAAAGTACCTGATGAAGGAATAAATCTGTTAAAGGAAGCTTCCAGCACACCTGAAGAAAAACACAACAGAAATTAGCGCAGTGGACCAATTTTAAACAGTTCTATACATCAAGCCAAAACTGGATAAAAATGTAATCAGAATTAAGCCTGTTCATTTAGCTATGAAATAAAACATGGTAAAAAGCAGAATACCCGAGGCTCAGCTGGTTAGACACGCAGCTTCAAAATAGATTACAACCTCCTGCCTCTTTCTTTCGCCTCAAAAATAGTTCTCGCACTCCCTTTTGGAAAAGAACCGCATGTAACTCTCAGTACTTGTAAGCACTGAATATTTTGCAACCAGTTCGTGAAAAAACTGATCACATGCAAAAGCTCAGGACACTGGTTGGTTATGTGCTGCGAGGGATAAATTCCAACACCTTGCCTGGCACATGTTTGTTATAATGTTCTGGGCTCTGAACACCTAAAAATTCTGCCCATAAAAACAGTGTGTTTTCTTAGCCTAATAGATGTTGCCCTTTCAGATACACTGTAATTTGGCTCCTTCTTCCAGAGCTGCACTGTGCAGTTTAAGAGCAGTCATTTCATCTCTGCCTTCATAGCTTAACATTTATTTTTGCCTCAGCCAGCCATAGATACTGCTTTAGCAAAAAAAAAACCCAAGTATTTTTGCTGGCTGAGCTTTGCAGGAAGAGATATTCTGTTATCAACATCATGACAGTGAAGAAAAGATCCAGTAGAATAAGTTTTAAAAAGCAAAGGGAATTATACCAACAACTTGAGCTCCTCAGAACACAAAGATCCACTAGGTCCCTGCCCAAAGAAGTTCTACTTCTCCTGAAAAAAATCTCAGGTTCAAAATGGTATATTTTTACTCATCTTTATTAGATTAAGACATGTCATTCGAGGTCATCCAACTTATGTTCCACTGAGTCAGAGCCAGCAGCAGAGGAGGAGCAGGAGAAATCATAGCATATCCTGTCCACTTTTGTTTAAAAAAGTTAATTTGAGGATGTAGTTTAATCCAAACTACTTGTAACCCCAAACCAAACCCACTACTTTGTACTTCCTACATTTTATAAACATTGCGTGTTTTACAGTGGCATAAGCCCCCATACAAATATCTAAAAGAACACTGTGCAAAATTTTAATTAGAAATTAACATCTCATTACTAGAAAATGCTAAACTCAACGTCTAACGAAATAACAGCTCCACCTACCTGGCTTTTTAGGCATTACCATACGAGTTGAAAAGTCTGCTTGCCAGCCCTGTTCTAATACACCTGAAAAGGTATTTTTACATTTGTAAGAACAAGTATCTTACATAATCGCTAGAAATGCAAAATAAAGTGCACATTAAGACCTGTAGAAAAGCATCTCAGTACACTGCCTATATTCCACAACTCTAAGACATATTTTTGTAAGCATTTAGACATTCAGTTCGACAAATAAGCTCATGAAAGTAATAATAGCACACAAAACTAGGTTAACCCACTACCTTCAGTCTTCCCTCATTGCAGAATTGCTTTAACACTTCTACCTATAGAAGGTGAGGATAACCAAAGGTAACTAGTGGCAATTAATAAAATCAAACACTTATCCAGAACCAAGACATTTATCTCTATTCACTGCCTCATCACTACTCTTTTATAATAGTCTCAGAATTTGTATACATGTACCTATTTACCATCACTTACAGCTCTCTGATCTCAATCATCTGTAGAAAAACTATTCAGTGAACAAATGCAAAGTACCTTTCACAGCTTCTTCTACAGGAAGCCCCACAAAGGCTGCAAAATCATCTGCAACTATTGAGGTATATGCCTGAGAAACCAGTCCAAAGGCTCGTCTCCTAGTTGCATCTAAGAAGATATAAACACCGTAAGCAGACAGTAGACTAATCTCCATAACTAGAAAATCTGAGAAAGTTTTTCCAATTCTAATACATTTGGAAAACCACTACCACCCTTAAAGCTAGTATTTTACAAGTTCCCTCTCCGTTCCCACAATTCACTGAGGTACCACAGTCAGCAGTCAGAGACAACAGCTTGCTCTGTGCCAGGACAAAACCCCTCAGAGACCGCATTTGACTTCCAAATGCGGCATCTGGGGTACTACCACCGGTATGTAAACCAATTTAGGAAACTGCTTCCAATAGCATTCTCCACTTGCAAAAAGCTTGCGTGTCAAACAGTTCAGAATCAGAAAAAAAAATCATGAAAAAAGCAGCTAGTCAAAGTATCCATGTATCTTTAACCACATCTGCTTTGATACCGAGGTATCTCCAAATCAGTTGTTTCTAAAGCTACAGAGAATTTGTTATTGCAAAATACTTCGGAAGGCTTTTTAGCAGTCTGTGCTGCCCTCTAGTAGCAAGACTTTGCACGTTAGTGTTGCACAGACTCACTAAAACATTTGTCTAAAGCCACATTTAAAAGAAAACCCTTTTCGTAAGCGTCACAAGGCTCTGAAATGCCAAGCCAAGTTCCCTAGACTACTGGTTAAAAGTCTGATAAAACTGGATAACTAATGGTCTATTTTGCTATTACAGAACAAAACATATAGTGTATGAAATTCCAGTACGAAAGAATATACAATCACCCACACAATCCTAATAAAAACAATTTCATTTGTTTCTACAAGTTTTTGTAATGAGCTTTTTATTTACACCTGATACCTAAAATCCGTTAAGTAAAACCTATAAGAAGTTGGCAACGGTCTCCTGACCACTTCTGATTTTTCAGAATAATAAGTAGTCATTTGTCTACTTGTCTATTTGTTTGAGCACACAAATAATTTAACGCGACATATAGTTCCACGCTACCTACAGGAGTTCAATTTGTACCTCTAAGTGCTTCCATGATTGGTTGAACAGTCTCAGACCACTGATGCGCACTGATTGTTGTGTAGATTCCTGGGAAGTCTCTCTGCCAGATTCTTTGTCCTACTGACCAGACTGCACCAAGTTCAGCATTTGCCTGTTGTGACAAAAAAACCTAAACAGTTAATCCAGAATGGTGTATTCTCTACAGTGACCATTCTGTATAAACCCATATTCACTCCCCTCCTTTTCCCATTGCAAGAGGATATCACAATACCTGTAACAATGAACAGACAAGCATTGGGAAATCTTGTTCTAGCAGGTATCACCGCTGCAAACTCCCTCATCCATCCTCTGCCAAAACTTTATCGCCCACATACACAATGCCTGCTCACGTGTCAGTTATACCAATCCAGGCAGGCATACCAGCTAAAACAAACCCACATACACAACGCCTGCTCACGTGTCAGTTATACAATCCAGGCAGGCATACCAGCTAAAACAATCCTGGAGGATAGTTTGCACTCAGGCTGCTGACCGGGGTTGCAAAAGGACAGGCACAGCTTATTTTCTGCTTAGAGAGATGCTTGCTTCTTCAGTAGAGGCTTTATACAGTGCAGTGGCTGTTTGCACAGTGAAGGCAATTTTCAAATGGAAAGTCTTGAAGTGTTGACAACAGGTCACAGTTAATATGGTGCCATACTCACTACAACTGCTCTCCCACTACTGGTTTTAAGGATGTGCTGGTTTTGGCTGGGATAGAGTTAGTTTTCCTTCATAGTAGCTAGTATGGGGCTGCGTTTTGGATTTGTGCTGAAAACTGTGTTGATAACACAGGGATGTTTTCGTTGTTGCTGAGCAGTGCTTACACAGAGTCAAGGCCTTTTCTGCTCCTTACCCCACCCCACCCGGGAGTGGGCTGGGGGTGCACAAGGAGTTGGGAGACAGCTGACCCCAACTGACCAAAGGGATATTCCATACCATATGACATCATGCTCAGTATATAAGCTGGGGGAAGAAGAAGGAAGAGGGGGACGTTCGGAGTGATGGCGTTTGTCTTCCCAAGTAACCGTTACACATGATGGAGCCCTGCTTTCCTGGGGATGGCTGAACACCTGCCTGCCGAGGGGAAGTAGTGAATGAATTCCTTGTTTGGCTTTGCTTGTGCGCACGGCTTTTGCTTTCCCTATTTAAACTGTCTTTATCTGAACCCATAAGTTTTCTCACTTTTACTCTCCCAATTCCCTCCCCGATCCCGTTGAGGGGCAGTGAGCAAGCAGCTGTGTGGTGCCTAGTTGTCGGCTGGGGTTAAACCACACCAAAGGGCGACTTCTACTGTGTTGCACATTGTCCTTTGGTCAACTAGACTCCAGAACACCCTGTCAGAATTGCAACCAAACACCAAATTGGGTAATAAAGTCATATTTTCAACTGTAAGGAGAACTGAATTGTTTCTGAAGTTGAGACTCATACCAATCGTTACTTGACACAAGTAGCAGAAGATTCATCGACACATACACATAAGGAAATACTATGCTTTGAGGTGTAACCTCCCCAAAATAATTCATGCAATGAGTTTCCCCCACCAAGAACGATGCTTCACATGAAATGCAAGTTACACCAAAAAGGCCAGATTATTCACAGAATATTGCTGTGCAACAAATACAGCAGGTTTCAGAGAAAGGACAAGTAAAATTTGGTCCAGATGACTACTGACTCAACTGATGTGACTCCTTTTTTCTTGAAAGAGAAAGAAAATAATTTCAGAACCACCTGACAGGTCCCTTTTGACCATGAGGTTTCTTAATACAAACTACAGAACACTTGTTTCCTTGTAAATATCATCTCAAACTAAGATGATATTTACCTAACCTAACAACAGTAAAGTCTGGAAGCATTTCTGGTATTGTATTTAGCTAAATCCTCAAAATGCATCTTTGATCCAAACGGAGTGCAAAACAAGTGCCTTCAGAAAGTTAATCAATTTGAAGACTCAGCTTATCTGAAGCGACTTTTCACTACACAAAGTATTCTGCACTCTCAGTGTGGAATGCGGCCCCATCCCCCAGTCGGATCCATTGCTTTCCTCCAGCTGACTACTCTTTATCACAAGGCTTTCTACTAAAAAGTCTACAGATTTACTGAATTCTATTGCACCAAATTACTTGGGAAGGAAAAGAGGTAACAGATGAGCAACTAGGAGATCTTAAAGACCAACATGCCATCTGCTGGGCAAGCATTTCACAGCACAGAACTGAGCCCAAGGCTACTCACCAAACTGAATCCTTGGGGGGAAAAAAAAAGTCCTTATTTGCAAGGACTGTTTGAAACTGGTTTAGTATCAAACAGCATTTTATGAAGTACTTACAGATTTGATAGCAGGAGGGATTCTTTTCCAAAGATACCGTGCATTATTCCTAAAAAAATTAATTAAAAATACTTCTCAGTAACCAAATGTTTGCTACAAGGAGACACCAAAAGTTTTGTTGAGATGCTATAATTAACACAGTCTTAGCGCTTTAAAATATTCCTTCTATGTCTACTGAAGTAGAAAAACAAAGTTACTCTCAAGTAGACAACATGACTGCCATAATACAACAAATAGTTCATTAACTGCCTCATTTAACACCAGTTTAGAAAAGGTTTTTCATTTATCTACCCCAGGCAGCATTTCACAGAAGTTAGTTTTGCATTTTTATTTTTTGAATAGCTGCATCTGTGACAAACGCATGTACAAAGAGTAACTTTTTATAGTGTCAGTAGTCATTTAGACCAGTGGTCTCCAAACTTGGATCATGCACTTCTAGCAGAAAAACATTTTTGAGCATGCACCCCCAGTATATGCATATGTATTTATAAGTTATATACATGTACTACTGTATTAATATATTATGTACATTATAAAGCATACAAATATAGAAGTTAAAAAGGATGAAATAAACACCATTTAAAGATCTTTTTATGTTACTTCTTAATAGTACAAAATTACTTTCTTCATGTGCCCACACCCCACTTTGCATACCAAAGATTTAGACTGTTTTGTGCAGGTTCTTCCCAACCCAGCTTTGTCACATACATTCTGGAGATTTGGACATATTGAAATATTTAGTCACTGATCTTTAGAGCACAGAAGTCAAACTGAAATGGTTACAAATTCTCAGAAAGATTTAAAAATGCAAAATAGAGAAAAAGATTCACTGCTTTTCATTAAAGCACAATCCTAAAACTCCACAATTCTAAAACTTCAAATTCATTTGAACCAAGGTTATTTGCATTAAATCTAATACTCAGTATCGGCATTCAGGGAATTTGCCCCGAAAGAATATACATCTACCATGCAACAAAACACTCAAATCTTCGAATCCCCACACCAATGCTTACTTTGGCTTGCTAATCAAACATGGCAGTGTCATTTATTCTGCCTGAATAAATAATCAGCAATTTCTCAATAAAACCCCAAACACAGCAAATCAACAGGGACATGGTAATAATCCACCAGACCGAATTCCAAGGATTACTGCTTCGTGCAGATTTAGCTCATTTAAGCCAACGGTATCCCTCATTTTTAACACGGACAGTTTAGAGTTATCCTGTTGTAATTATACACAAGGAGGAGCATGCAATCTTACTCAAAAAACAAATGCAGCCTTGAAAAGCTACAAATTAAAACACTGAAGTGTTCAACACTTTCCAAAGGAGCCAATTTCACTATTTAAGGAACTTTCTTCCTAAAGCCAATCTGTTTCCCTGCAGTTCAAAAGGGTGAGCAGGAGCAAACAAAGGAGAATAATTTTCCTGACAGAGCAAGGGGTGAAAGAGACTTAATTCCATTAATTTTTTTTTTTTAAATTTTGTTAGTCACACAACCAATTACTAATATTCTGGCAACTACAGCTCAAGCCAATAGTGACAAATTCGTTATCTGAAGTTAAAGATTAATACCAGCCACTTACATGTCATTATGCAACAGGTATAAAGCTAGAAGTTGGCCATAAACAAGGGGTGTTGCAATTCCTCCAGGGGCCTAAAAAACAAGTACAAATAATTTGGTTACATATCTTAAGAACAAGGTATCTTACAAAATACACCAGATAGCCAAGTTTAATGAAATCTGAACATTCGAAGACAGCTAATGGTTTTTTACACCACATAATAGGTCTGGACAAATTGCCAGAGTTTACGGTTGTATCTTACAATGACGAGTTAACCTGCACATGCCAGAAGTTTTACTTCGAAAACTTAGTTTGTTTTGCTGCATGAATAAAGTAAGGTTACATCTTTCTAATGTTCTAGCTTATGCTCATGAAAGTGGTAACCATCTCGCTTTACAGTTCCACACAAACAGCTGTTCTTAGGCGCTCACGATTTCATCTATCTTGAGCTGAACTTCAGTTCAATTCAGGACACTCCACCAGAGTAGTTTCTTTGCTCACTGGAACTGCCCTTCTTAAAAATCTGAACTATGCTTTGACACTTGCCACACTTCAGCAGACCTCACAAATCAGACAAGTAGAAAACAATGAATTATAATAAAGTTACAAGATTTTGAAAGTCTATAATCATTTAAAAGCCAAAAAAGATTTCCAATAAGGTTTTAGCAATCTGTCAAAGGGTAGTGCAGCAAGCACTCACGGGAAGCCAATTATGCAGCTATGTGATTTAATTACATGTGTGATTTATAGGCTCATCTAAGCCAAAAGCAGGTGATTAGCTGTGTGTCGAGCAGATATCATCGCCCCCAGCCATTCTTACACTGTTCCCAGGGCTCATCACCTACGTACAAATACAACAGTTTCTGCAACTGTTCCTTGGATCATGGCCAGTAAAACAAAGCCAGGTCAATTAATACCACCTGTTGGAAGTGTCTAAGTTAATCTCTGGCATTTCTCTGCACTAAAAAGAAAATTCATTCGTTTCTCTGCCAGGAGACTAGGGGAACAGAAGGCAAAGTTAACTACCACCGAAACAACTAGATTCACAATCTACAGTCTTACTGAAGGAAGCTCTGTGGCTGCATCTAGCCCACAAATAAACCAGCCTACGTATCAACTCATGATCTGAAACACAAAGGCTGTCAGCAGATATTAGTGTGCCCACAAGAATCTTGATACAGATGCAGGCACGCACAGCAAATACCTTACCGGCGTTGTCAAAGCATGTGGGAACAGTTTGCCAGGGGTGCCTCTGTTGCCATTTACTCCAGGAGACTGCTGACAGACACAGCAGAAAGCTTGAGCAGAGCGCAGTCTAAGTTCAGTGGCTTTGTAACAGCTCCCAGGGACTCACCGAGGTCCAACACCACCCGCTCTGCAGCAGGGAAGCGAGGAGGGTGCGTTGAACTTCTTCAGAGGGCTGCAGAAGCAAAACCCAAAGCCTGCAGGGCTCCATCCCTGCCACTCAGAACTCAGCCTGACACAACTCTCTCACTACTCCGCAGAGGCCAAAAAGGCAGCCAAAGCCATTGCAAATCAGGTTCGAACAGATTGCCCAAACCGAGCACCAACCACTGTTTTGAAGCTTGTTAATCCAAATGGGAATAAAAAGCTACCTCCATTTACAGAAAGACATTCCCTAATGGAAAGCCATTCAGTGACTGTTAACACACGCTGTGGTCTCATAACCCTGACTATATCCCTCTACCCACACCTCCCTAATACACACCTTAGCAGGGAACACACCTTCAAAGCAAGTGCTAAGCAGCTCCCAGTGGGAAGGGCTAACCACACTCAGCTCTCCCACATGGTACAAGGGCACTCTTTTGCTTCTCTATGCTCACGTGCCCATCACCTGAGGCAGCGGGTAGCTCATATTTTCAGCACAACCACCTCCCTCCAGCCCCGTAACACTCTTCCACAGAACTCAGGGCATACGAAGAAGCTGCAGCACCATGCTGAGAACATCAGAGGCACCTGGGCTCAGCACAGAAATAGTGCACAGAAACACCAACTGAAGCTTGATGGTGCACACCTATAAGCAGGAACCCCTTCCATTTCAGGATTTTAGCCTGGAGAAGAAGCAACTGAGGGGAGACCTCATCGCGCTCTACATCTACCTGAAAGGAGGTTGTAGTGAGGTGGGTGCTGGGCTCTGCTCCCAAGTAACTACTGATAGGACGAGAGGAAATGGCCTCAAGTTGCACCAGGGGAGGGTTAGATTGGAAATTAGTTAAAATTTCTTTACTGACAGAGTGGTCAGGCCTTGGAACAGGCTGTCCAGGGAAGTTGTATATTCACCATCCCTGGAAGTATTTAAAAGACGTGTAGATGTGGTGCTTAGGGACATGGTTTAGCGGTGGACTTGGCAGTGCTAGGTTAACAGTGGGACTTGATGATCTTAAAGGTCTTTTCCAACCTTAATGATTCTATGATTCTATTTTCCACTGCAAAGCTGTGTGCTTCGTCAACACCAAAGTTCTGCTGTGGCAAGTGATCACACATTGGAACAGCTCTCTCCCTTCAATCGCTAGGGTAGCAAGATCTAAAAATCAGAATCACTGAAGAATGCACAACAAAATTTTCCCCTATTTCAAGTTGCTACAATGGGATGCGTGAGCTTCACATTTAGAAAAGCCCTGGAAACTCCACAAGACAAGAAAGGGTCTATGGATATCGCCTGGGAAGAGCTCTTAGTATTAACTTGGTGCCACTTGGATTTACCACAGGCTGGAGTCTGGCACACTAACAGAGCACACAGCCAGGCTTGAAAACTCATCAAACGATAGAATTTAAAACGGCACAGAGGAAGCTTAAATCACAGAGGATTTACGAGTAATTCAGTGCCCCGCTCTCCTTTTCAATACCTTCTTTTTCTCAACCACGTGAGACACACGGAGACATATGAACTTCTCTCTCACACACACACCCTCCGAAAAGACCCTAACATTCATACTGAAGTGCGTTATTTGCCTGCAGCTTCACAAGTTTCTGAAAAGCTTTTTGGCGGGCCTTCCCACAAGCGGCAAGTATAAACACTGAACCCTCACCGACCTCACAAACACACACAGAGCCACGAATGCCCTTCCCTGTAGGGCCAAATTAGCACTCTTCCCAAAACAGCACTTTCAGGCAACACTCTCTGACCGGCACCGCACCCCGCAGC